ATATGCAGTTTTAAATTTAAATGTGGTTATTCGAAAGTGGCTAAAAACACAGAACATAAAACCGATTCAAATATTTCACTCATAGACAACGACTATGCCCACCTGCTAAGTAGTTTTTGTACATTTGCTTTACAATGGTGTCGCGATATTTTATTTGAAGTTTTCTTTATAAAATAGCCTTTTGCCACAAAGATCAAATTACCTATAGTGCATAATTATAGTCACAACGATCGACAATGGATTCCAAGTTTGGTATTTAAATCTTAGTTCCAGAAAATGCTACCAATTGCCGCACTTACTGATTAACAGAGCCCTTAAACCGAATTGGTCGGAGTAGATTTATTTATTTATTCAGTGGCCCAAGGGTTGCTATTTACCGCATCTCGCACATGAGTTTTTCTCGTTGTCCAGAGTGCGTGCAATCCAATGCCATCCATGACCAGTGTTGCCAGATTTTCTTTTCCAAGAAATGTGAATTCCCAAGAAAAAAGTGCATTTCAGCAAAAGAATTTTTGGAAGATCAAGCTTTTTTAGCCGTACGAATGCAGATGACACATTTTTATTCAAAAAAGAGGAGAATAATCGAAAACCATATTTCCTATGATGTTTGTACACCCGCTAATAGTTTGTATGCGAAGATCTTCGCTGGACTGGACTAAAATTGTGTAAATTTTCAACGGGGTATAGTCGTTGACTGTAACGAACAGTTTTTCAGGCAAGTTTACGGTTTTTTAAATTACCTCTTAGTACAAATACAGTTTTGGAAATTTTCAGATTTTAAAGAAAAAATAAAATTTATCTAAGATCTCTCATTATACGAAGTCCACTTCCTCGGTACGCACTGGTTTAGTACCTTGCATCAGCAGCTGGGAGCAGGGCAAGTTGTATGCTTTCTCATGCTAATCCCATACATTAGTTATGGATATGGAGTCTTATGGGTATTCTGCAAAGCAGTTTTTTTTTCCTAAATGCATATCTGTAATTTGAATGAGAACTAGCTAGGAATGGCTCTTGCTCTATTCAAAACTAAATAAAATGGAATTTGCGTCTCAAAGTTACCACCCTTTCTCCCCACTTCATAATTCTCATAAGGTTGAAAGACGCTGTTTTGTAAGCTTTCCACAAATTTCAAATGACGACGTCATACAGTCTGCTAGAGTGATTGCCCACTTAAACGTAACCAAAAATGGCATAAGTAAATAAAAATACCGACACTCACTCACCTTGTGGCGAAAAATTTACGAGCGAGGCTCTTTGCTGTCAATGAAGATCAACTGATCGACGACACAAGTGCTCTCCAATGTCGATCACAATGACTATACCCGAAATTTGTGCAGTCATATGTAAAAACCAAAGAAATTACAATAACACCAACAACAGAAGAACAATATGTATTTGCGACAATGCGAATCGTATCAAAGGAAACCCTACAAATGTTAACCTCATTAGTAAACTAAAAAATAAAAATAACAAATAGTCGCACCACAACCTCAAACAGGACTTGACAAAAGGGCACCAAATTTTACAAAAACAAACTACGTTGCATTGTTCAAAAATTTGCAAACTTTTGTGGCATGATTTCATGATTTTATTATGGATGATGTGTCGTGTCTGCTCAATTTTTTGCTGTCAACAAAAATAAGAAACTGTCACAAAACCCCAAAAGTGAAAAGAAAAGAGTGGAAAAAAAGTTTCGAAAACGTTCGTGGACAGTTCGTCAACGATCAACAAGCTCTACGTCATTATCATCATCATAACCACGAATAAGTATCTATGTATGTACGTGTATTTTGTATACCTTTCACCCCCTATGTCATTTCGTCCATCCATCCATTTGTTGCACGAACTTTCAGCAGTAAATTCGCTCGTGTACAACTTCACGATCAGTGACATAAACATCAACAACATCAAAATCATAAGCCATGCGGGACAGACAAGTAATTCGAACGATGGACGCTACACGCATTGAGGTGCACCCAAGCCTACTTTGTCAAAATGTGATGATATTGCTTTGTGGTTAGCATAGTTTCGTTGATTTTTTTTTTATTGTCTCTTTATTTGGGTTTGCTTCGATTTTAAGCCTTAAAATAACTTCTCTGTCTCTGTGCTATGTTTTGGTAGATTTTTGTCTTTAAAGTCCTTCGATTGTGATGGTGAATGCTCAGGAAAGCACAAAAAAGACATTATGTCGGTCATTTTTCGGGTATCACATTTAAAATCTGTAAGGGGGAAAAGAATACAAAATAAATTTCATTTGTATGCATACATATCTACAAACAAACAATCGAACATGTGTTTTGAGTTATGCGACTCCGGCACTGTCGAGAGCCCATCAGATTCTATTGGTGACGCGTTGAATTCGTTGCCTTGAAGAATTGTATCAACATTTTTGAGAATCACATTATCTTTCGTGTGTTTTCTTTCTTGCTTTTGCTGCGGCTGACAAAATCATCTTGCTTTTGACAAGTTTGAGTTTTTGGTCTTCAAGTTAATGCAACCGCAAAATTTGTCAGTTTCTAGTGAAAAGTTCTCGGTGCGCAAACATGTTCATTCATATAGATACATACTTATATATATGTACATAAGTGTAGTACAGTGACTCAAGCAAAGGACCAAGTGTTAATCTTTTTTAATATTCACAACGTTTTGCGTTTTTACATTTGTCGTAATATCTTCGGCATTTAAAGTCGCATCTTAAAGCGATGTCCGTGTATCGAGGAAAAAAGGTTCATTGACCTCAAATACCCTGTTCTAGTATTAGCGACCAGATCTCAGTTACCCTAACCCTAACGTTCCGCCCTAATGCCAGTAATTTAAAGCACACCAAAAATCCTTAAACTAAAGGAAATTAACTCTTTTTATTCCATATCGAAGTTGTTGGCTCGAGAAGATACTGTGTTATTTTTAAGTTCATTGAACTCGAGTACCCCGTTCTATTACTTACCCACCAAATCTGGGTTCTTATCACCCTAACGTAGGTAGGTATCACCCTAATGTTAATACATTAGAGCTCTCCAAAGAGAGCTTTTTGAGAGAGTTTTTGATTGTTTTAGTAGAACTATTCAGAAAAATAATTTTATTGCCGAATGTAGGTGTCTCCGAAAAATGTAGTGGCGAATACAAAATAGTTTAGACTCAAAAATGTGCGTCGAACTTTTTTTGCTTGCTTGTAAGGTGGTACGGTCGAATAAACATATTTATATTAGAACGGTTCGCTGTCCATACGGAGAAAAATGGTTATAGTTCCCTATTCCAAAATAACTTTTAAGAAATCATAGGTTAACGAGTGACACTGACATCGATATGAATAGGATTAAATATATTAAATAGGTAAAAAAATATGGCCCTGAAAATCGATAAAAATATCGGTTTTGGTATCGCTAAATCTATTGATATAGATACGAGTATGAGTATCGATAATTACATCGGCTCATATGTCGAAATGTACACTGAAAACCACCAAAATCTACAAAGTTATCGATAAAACTATCGGTTTTGATATCGCTAAATGTATCGAAAAATTTATGTATAGGGGTTTTCAACAATAATTTTTAGCATGGTGAGGTATACGAAAGAACAACGCTTACAAGCAAATAAAATTTACTACCAAAGTCTGTAGTAAACAAGCAATTCATATAAAATCTGATGAAAAAAGTAAACCGCAGGATATTCTTCTATCTCGTGTCAGTGAGGCAGGCAAGCGATGAAAATTAGTCACTTCCACAAATGTATATAGACCTCTATTATACGATTTTAGCTAAACTCGTTTTATGTCGAAAGCAGTTAACTGAAAACTCTGCTTAATTTGCATGGAAACTCTAGCCCCAATTTTCTTTTAGTCTTTTCACACATATTCCATCGGTTTGATAAATGCAAAAAAATCCGTTTAATGAAACAACATTTATGTCCGTTTAAATGAAATTGATTATTCAACTCTACTTCCTAAAATAAAACGGCCCTGAAAGTGTCATCGAAATTATAACAACCCTGTACACGCAAATAAGTGATCAACTGTTATCATAGAATTTGTTGAGCAAGCTGACCTTGACCGAATTGTGAAAGAGAGTGAATAAAATTCGGATAGCTAAAATTTGGCGGTTTAACAAAGGGTCGCTTAATTGACTACTGTTGTACTTAACCAAAGTTCTGCTAATTGAAAAACTCGGTTAACTGAAGTTGAACGGCCGTACAAATGGTGTTGCAATTAACCGGTTTCGACTGTATTTAAAAAGTACAATGAACTTCTTCACTCGAAAATTAATAACAAATCGACGGCTGAGTTGAAGATCGACTTATCTCGGCGGCCAGTTCGAAAACGCCCTATCTCAGAAAACTTTTCAAGAAGTACCTAACCTGTCTCAGAATTTAGTTCAAAATGCTCTATCTCGACTGAAAATATTTTGAAAATATGTTGAGATAGAGCGTTTTTGAATCGGCTGCCGAGATAGGTAGATCTTTCACTTATCCGTCGACATGATTTTTCTTTCGAACTCGGTTTCTAAACTTAATATTGCGAGTCCTATGTAAAACTTGAATAAATATATGTAAATATTTGGACTAATTGTTTAATGTTTTTTTGAAGTTATGCGAATTAACAAATTATGCGAAGTCAAATGGAAACTCAGAATCGCTCTATACTCATACATGTGCTTTATGAGTACGTATATATGTACATATGTATGTATATGAAGGCATTCTGCTCTTAACAAATCCTCTGTTTTCGAAAATAGCCACTTCTTGGCTACATAATAAAAGAACTTCTTAGAATTGAAATGCCTTCATATATACTATACATAGTCTTTTCCTTTCTTCGTACATATGTACATACATATGTATGGTTGGTTCGCTTGCCTCATCCCTAGGTTTGGCAGTCTGTGCTTCTTAATCAACTGATTTAATGAAACTGTGCTGTGCAACTTATTGGAAAAAATACTTATTTCTTACACATTTGATTATTCCACAGCATCTACAGATATGTAGGTGCTTCAAATATATGTATGTATGTATGTGTGTATGTCTTTTTTTTAATTTTTTGTTAAACAAAAATTTCAAATAGAAGCCGCACAGCCGATACCGCTCGATTGCGCGTACCCATTAAATCGGATTTCTATAACACAACGCGATGCGGCGAGACGGTTGACAAAACACAACGCACCGCAGCCCAGTGCAATGAAAATAACTAAATAGTTATAAAGTGATACACCGGCAAAGAAGACCAAAAAAAGGAAGAAATGAAAAATTCGAGCGACATAAAGTCCATTCGAGTCAAATCAATACCAGTTGCTGCCTGCTGCCGATGTCGGCCTGCCGTTTATTTTTGGATTTCTTCATTGACCGTTTTTGGGGCAACTCTTCTGCTTTTGCTGCTTGGTGCTGGTGTTGTTCTTTGTGCCACTCTGGGAACCGCTTTGCGGCAGTTGAGCGCGCACACTTCAAAATTCTAAAGAAATTTATGGTATTAAATTATTATTTTTTCTTTTTTTTTGGTATCTACGGCACATTGAGTTGAGTATGGATGGCACTTGAGTGGTAGCTGTGCAACCAAAAATTCCTTGGCCCAAATCAGGCTTAAAAATTTGATTTTCGACGGGTTTGTTAATTCATTCCATTTGTTTACATTTTTGTCATTTTGGTTGGGTTTAATTTCGGATTAGTGCATTCTTCCGCGGATAGTTTGGGGACTTGCTGAAAGCGTACAGAAAGAAACAAAGATTATGTATGTATATATGTATGTACATATATTGAAAAAGAGGTAAGGGTTTTTAAGTCGCTCGGTTGGCTTTCAGCAAATGGAAGGCTAATTTTTTGTTTCATCTTCTGATAAAAATTCTCCAACGAATTTAATTAATTCTTTGTAATAACTCTACTTACTCAAATGACCACAATGAATTTCACTACAACCCATATTTTGCTGCTGTTAAACTTATGTTCCTTTAAAAGCTCATGCTGCTCTTTACCGTTACTTTAATTACTCTTCACCGCGTTTGAATAGCCCCAGCTCAAATGTGTCAACGTTGGCACATTCCGCTCTATAATTGCACATCGTAATTGGGTACCAGAAAAGGCACAGCAACAAAGTTAAGGCAAACAAGCGCAAAATACCTTACCTCATAAGCTTAAAATCGGCTTAAGAGCTTAAAATTATAGTAGGGCATAGCCCAAGCAAAGGCGATAACTAAACACCTCCTCCAACGCGCATGCGACCGAGCGAGCTTTTAACGTACGTTCCAAATAGCTGAGAAAAAAATTTACTCATCCTTGTTTTTTTCACAAAACATTTCCTACTTGTTTTGTTGGCTTTACTTTCTTCACCCACTGAAGCCACACGGGCAGGTTGCAGCGTATGCCCAACAGTATTAATAGCACTTTTTTTTTGAAATTCCGCAAACACTCGCTAAATGAATGCTCACACTTAAGTTGCATTAGTCCTAAACGCAGGCGAAGAAGCCTTATCAGTTTACACATTCATCGCGCGGCTTGAGTTCAAAAGCTGTTTTTCGCCTTTAAGCTGCGAATTAATGTGGTAATTGCTGGAAATTTAATGAGTTAGGGGTAGTTCAATTGCAACTGTATTAGCAATTAATTACGCTCCTTGGATTTGGTCGTTTTTAGCGGAGGAATAAATAGAAAAAAATTTGCAAATTCCACACATTCTCCATGACTTGTTTAGAATTTGCTGACCCCTAATGCGGTTGTAATTGATTTTAGCCCAGCTGAGCTGTGCACAATTTTCTTCCGGCAATTTTCGAAATCCGGCCGTAAGCTTTAAACAGAAAAGTAGGCTATCAGATATCAAACGAAATGTGCGTTCGCATAGTTAGAAATAAACGAATAGTCTGAAGAAGCCCCGGTAGCACATCCACACGTAAAAAATGTTGATTTTTGAAAAGTTCTAAAGAAACAAAACTGGGGCTTTAAAGCTTCAAAAATTAATTATTAATTAAAATGGGCAATAAAAACTCGACTTTGTTTATTTACATAAGTATATAGAGTGGCATTTATTTAGCGTCAACAAATTTTAGCTTTTTTCCTTACTTTAACTGACCGTTCCTAACTTTTTAAGGACTTTTGTGAAATGTGCAGGTGCCAGCTCCAGTTCGATTTTGCTTTTGCGCGTAAAAGCTTCTTTAAAAGTTTTGCCAGCGCTAGCTCGCACTACCTTCAATCCTTTTTACTAGCCTCGTTGCATTTCCAATTGACATTGCACTCCAAGCCATCGAATATGGTTACTTCATTAATCCCACACCGTCCAGTCGCTCTCATCAAAGGTCTTAACCTTCATGTAGCTAATGAGCGCAAATGTTATTTTAGAAAAAGGAAAAACCATTGCCATTTGACCGCATCATATGTCAGGCCTATGGGGGGA